TACACTGCACAAGTGAATATATAGTAAACATATTGTACGCAGTGAAACCTCGATAACTTTAACGTATTTAAGTCGAATTGTTGATAACTCCAAGGAATGTAGCTTAGCCCCGGCATTTTAATATAATATAATATGTACACGCACATTCTCTATAACTATCAAATTTGAAGATTAATCGTGATAAAGTTCAAATTCAGCTTACACTATAGTTTAAATACTTATAATAATATTATGTTTGTGTACAGCAACGAGGGCCCAAATTCATTCGATCGCAGTTATAAAATAAATATAAAATTGCGTTTTCAGTCAGTCGTTGCTTGTTATTCGGTTCATCGTGTTGTATTCGTGTTCCACATTGTTCGAGGGTGCACACGTAGAGATGTATCGAAGGCTATACGGCGCCTCGAGGCGTATTATACGTTTAATAACAAATTTTAAGCGTACCACATCTCTCATAATATTTACTACAAGCTATATCGCAGTATAGGTACATAAAATATTATATGCACCCAGTTAGACTGTCAGAAACAAAATACTTCTGAAAAATGTTCGAGTAAATTCGATACGGTTTTTTTGTTTTAAAATAAATTGTCGTAGAAAGGATATTTAAAATAATACACCACCCAATACTTTTCGCGAAGACATATTCGAGTAATGCTTGAATAAAATAAAACTGAAAAAAATGTACATTTTCGATACGGATATTATGCAGCGAATTCTCTCGGCCAACCTATATAGGTACTTTAAAATATAAGTAATTTTATAGCTGTGAGTGTTCCGTTATAACTTACAAATCATATTATATATGAGTTTTAGTACACGGTGTTTAGAAAATAAAAAACTTTAGAAGAGAACTTTGTGGTCATAATAATAAGACTTGGTAATACGATTTTGAAAATGGGTCAATGCATATTAACGCCAACCGGTGACCTCCGATTGCTTTTTGCACGACTGTTTTCAGTGACAGCTCGTGAACTTGATAAGTGACGATGTACATATTTTCAGAATTTCTTTGTGAAAATACACGTTATCTATACCTAATTTATATTGTCGCTGTTATGTCTTTATTTGTTAGTGCACTTTGAATTCACATCTGTATTGTTCGAAGAAATGGAAAACATTGCTAAATATGATATATTTTATAATATCATTATTATTAAATATATTTTACAATTGTGTGACAATTAATTTTGATAAAAGAGAAAACTCGGAAAACGATTTTCTATCCTTGCCTCGACCGGAAATATATACCGAAATATATACCAAGTTAATAATTCCTCTCTTCGCGCCAAATATTCAACAAAGTATACAATGCCAACTTTATAATTTATAAACGTAATGTACAACAATGGAAACCGAAAGAAAACACGTTTGGCGCTAAAATCCAATTCAATTCAATCAGCTTACTATATTATTGATATAATAACCTTTTTTTGTTTCGAATATTATTATTGTTATGATTATTATTTTTTTTTTAAGTTGCTAAGGATTAAGGAAATTCACTGAATTGGCCACCGAAATGGTCCGCAAAAAAAACAAAAAAAAAAAATGCTGTTCGTTAGCCCGCAACCGTCATATCGATTCGCAGAGACATCCATACATAATGAACCAATGGGAATCGAAACTTTTCAAAGAATATTTTTTTCATGCTTAAAATATACATACAAATATATGATATACATTTTAATAACGCATTAATATGTATGGTATTGTACACAGTGTGTCCATGGTATAAATTAACTTACTATAAAATATCTCAATCCCGATGACCTCAGATTAAAAAATGGTTTGATGTGATAGGGGGTACCAATAAGTACACATTTTAGCATGCAAATTTTACATTTTACTGGAATCCATAAGCAAAAATCACTCAACTCGGGTGAGTTTTAATTTTATGGAGAAATTCAGAAATCGTTAGATAAATCAAATTAATTTCAAACAACTATTATAACTAAGTCAGTTTTAGGTATGGACCCAAGGGGCAATGAACTAAAATTACTTTAAAAAAATGAACCTATCCATGCCATTGACTTCGCTCTCTAGTTACTCCATTCCACGCCTATACCCTACAAAATGTTGGTCCACCGCTACTCCGCTCGTCTACATTTTTAATATTTATATACCTATAACAACTCAATTGAAATTAAATTTTAATGTATCGAAGTACTCGGTGAAATATTCAGTTTCGAATTATGAAAATAAAAATTGTATGTTGTATGGTTCAAAAGTGTAAGAATCTTTAAAAACGATATTAAATAGAAGTTTTTTTTTCTAAAATGTTTTCGAAATCACGAGTTTCTTGTGATAATTGAACGGTTCACAGGAACATAACATATTTGATGTATGCAGAATTATAATATTCTATGGACGAGTAAACAAAAGTAGCGTTTAAAAAGTTTAATTTTTATTATTTGCCAGCATATAAAAATCCCAAACGCATTTTTTAATATAATTTAATTATTTTTATATTTAAAAATATTAAAAAATGATTTCACGGTATGTACTAAACTATTTTATTATTTTTTTTTTTAGTTTTTTTTAGGTATACGTCAATAACATTACGCGTACATAGGTAATTTATACACACGTCCGAATCGTTTGAATAGATTTTTTTTTTGATATTAAACGAACGATCAATTTTAATTTATATCACAATAAAATGTACTCCGATCTATGTACAATACGATACATTGTTTGCACTTACATAATTGGTATTTGCTATAGTTATATGATTATAATACATGCAAAGATTATGCTATTATGCCTCATATTATGAAGTTCAACAAAATAATTCATATCGAATAACAGTCATAGAAAACCTGATATTTTGCACAGTCCTAAAATAATAACAATATTCATATTTTTTGTAGTACATTTCGTAAAATGGTCGATATATAAAATGATTAACAAGTGAAAAAGTCATAAATGTGAGTTTATTATGATCACAATATTAAATGCTAAATTTATAAATTATAAATTATTATATGAAAATATGTAGAATCCGTTCAAATAAACATATATTTCAACTAAAATTAATTATGTTCAACTGATAAAAATAAAAATGTCTGTTCTTCGTTATAGAAACGTTGTAAGTATATATAGGTATAATACGTTTATTGTTTTACATTACTTTACATTACGCATATAAACTAACTAGAAATACTATGTTTAATAATATAAATTTAGAGCTCGGATTTAAACGTACACTGTACAAATTACTTAAAACATTTAAAATATCTCATCTTAAACTAAAAGTTAAATAACGACTTTTACATTTTGCCTAAAAACCTTGAAAAATGCCATTACATAAACGTAATTAAACTTTAAAAAGGCAAGGGAAAAATATGTAAAACGGTTTTTTTTTATTAACAATTAAACCAAAGGTACTTTTTGACAAATATGAATTGTTTATTTTTTCTTGAAAACTGTATATAGGTATTATATTATCATAATGATAAATAAACATCGATGAATTTAAAACCAGATGGATTTCATTAAAATTAATAAATGCTAAAGCAAAACAAACAATGCCATATTCGAGAAATACAAATTAATATCGAAGAAATGTCAATACGACATATCAACAGAAGACAAAAGTATCTATATAGATGTAAAATGGCAATTTCAAATCTCCAATATCTTTCAATAATCTTTCAACAGTCATATTTATTATAGATGTATTGTTATTTCAAGTAATATGTATACCAATAAATATAATATCAATATTTTTCAACGAAACCATTTTTTAAGTTTTTACATTTTAGAATGAAAACATGTGTCTTAAAAATCTTATTTCTGAGCTGTATAATTTTCTGGGAATTCCGACGAATAAGCTAATCTAGTTATAACTGATTTAAGTATTTAAAGAAATAATAAGTGGATAATAGTAAACAAACAAACACTTTGTGTGGTACTTCTTTTTACACTCTACCCCGCTCAACCAAACCAGTTGTCTCAAGCATATTATATGAAACATAATGTATTTCTTCAAATATTTTGAAAATAAATATTAATAATTACTAAACAAAAAATCAATAAGGACATCTTTGTATAATACCTAGTATTAAATACTGTGTTATGTTATAATGAGTATAATCAATAAAAGAAATAGATGGTGTTTGTATTTATTTTGTTTATCTTGAATTTAGTATTGATAAGTAAAAAACAAAAAGGTGTCTTCTTGCCCAAGATCCTTTAACGTTAAAATACTTTATGCCTGTTGATAATTTAAGTTTGTGACCACTGACGTAAACTTTAAATATTCTTATGTTATAATTAATTAACTGCTCGCTATAGAGTCACACTCGTATCGACAACCATTTGTGTTATCATCATGCAGTAAACTTTAATATTTTTAACGATTATTTCGGTAAGTTGCAGAGTACTTCCTAACAATAGTTTTACATCCTAGTGGAGGTAAAAGGATCATAATATGTTATTGTCACGTGCCATTTAATTCAATAGGAATTCGATAGTAAAATGTAATGTGTTTCACATTATTTTCGTTTCGTCGTGAAATAATAGTAGTTCGAAAATCGGTATGAACTGTAACTTTTGAATTACGACAAAATAATCGTTAAGTGAATCATGTCGGAGTTATTTTAGACCCCAAGCCGTTTGAGAAAGCATATTTATTGGTGTCATTACTGCAACTTTATTTTTTGGTTAACATTCTAAAAACAATTGATGATATTCAGTAAACGACATTAACTGGTTTTAATGATTATAACAATCATATAACTATAACAGTAACTAAATTAGATTTAGCCCCCTTAAAAAAAAATTCAATCAAATATCCGCCTTTGGGCGGCCCATAATATAGTTTCTATACGACTATGCTTCGTGTTTTTAAGGAACGGTGTACAACGATAAGACCGGATATTGGTCGTCTAGACGAAACAATAATAAAACCACTAGACGAAATATCTTGTGCCTAATACAATATTTATGTAATATTATTATGTTACAATGTTAAAATGTACAATATTTTTTTTTTCTAGCCTTATTGGATGAAAAGTAAAGAATATTGGAACAACAGTTTCGACGAACGTTACAAGAAACTCCACGAAGACGTTATCAATAAAAAACGACTTCCACTCAAGGTAAGTCTTGAATAACCCGTCGTACTGTTATTATACTTCAGTTTAAATGAAACACAATAATGTCTGAAATGTTTTATTAATGTCGCCGCGTGACGAGTATGACATTTTTCCGTACTTACAAAGTGTCTTTTTATTATTTCACGTGTTCTATATTTAGGGCTGGATCACTATTCACTGTGCAACAGTCCATCGTGTACCCACCACACTTGTGGAGGCGACTTCTGTTACCTTGTGTCCTTGTTCGCCTTTTTCTCGCAATAAAACGTCACGATATTTCAGTCGTAAAAACTACTTAAGAAAATCCCTCCTCTTCCCTAAATATCTATGCAAAATTTTCATGTATGTCAATTTCTCAAATTCTATAGTAAAGCCCACTTATTTAGTTAAAATCATTCTAAATTGCTTCTTTCATAATATATTATAGGTTCGACTAACCTTTTATGGTTAAAATAAAATTATTTATTTTAAAATGTCCATAAAAAAAATAAATGAACCCTTTGATAAAAAACAAGCCGTCATCCAGATTTTCTTCTTGAATAATAATAAAAAAAGAACCCCTTTGTTTATTTATATATCATGATTTTTTTCCAACAAGTTAAATTTATTTCGTAGTAATTGTAATATGATTTATGTATAATACAATATATAGGTACACCCGTTATCTTAATTAAAATTACGTTTCCTGTGACGCACATTCTTTTTCATACAAAAACCTGGATGTCAACACCATTACTGCAGGTATTATATTTTCGTTAAATCACATCGATAAAAACTTCAACGCGCCCACCTACTGTGGTTTAGTGATATACATTATACATATCTCAACATAAGTGCGCATATACGAATATATGCAAGTAAATCGACTAATAATCATTATTAACAGTCGGCGAAAACAATAGTCTCATGTCAGTCGTTTAAATAATCACGAGAGCACGATAATTATTACTAGTCGAGTATAATGCGAAGTTATTTTTCCACGAATTTCATATTATTTTCGCCTGCTAATGCGCCCGTAAACCTAAATAATTGCACGAAAGTTATTATCATTATTATTATTATTATTATTATTATTATTATTATTATTACTCACTTCAGCGACCCCGGGACCTAGGGGGTCGTAGACCGGCTAAAGTATACAGTCGCCGCCAGTGCAGGGTGTTGGGCGCGGGAAAATCGTCGGACGAGGTGTCGGGCGACCCACGAAATTGGTTATTTACCACGGCCTATTCGTTTCCGTTAATAAAAATGTCCACTTACCTGCACACCCACCCACGCTGGTGCACGCACCACCCACACCACGGCATACCTATTTGCTCGACCGGCGTAATGTGCGCAGCCCGCAGCGGGGTAAAACAAATTACAGCCGCCGTCGTGCGAGAAGTTAATTCGGGTGGAGTCGGCGGCTGCGGCGCGTCTGTGTGAGTATTTTATTATTTTATGTTTTTTATTTTCATTTTCCCGCGACGCGTGTTGTACCTCCGCGGTGCCGAGAACTCGTAGGAAAATTATTCCTTTCGTCGTCACGTTTCGTTTTCCGGTAATAGGATTTACTGGTCCGACACAATATATATAACGCCGAGCGCGCGGAAGTCAACTACGAAAATATTTCATACGCGTACACCTTGCCCACCCATATGTGCAGCGTGCTTATGCGTACGTTGACATAGGTGTATATTGTATATATATATATATATATATATAGGTAAACCAGCGTGTATTCTGCAAAGGCACAGGAAATAATTTAAACGGCAACATATTATATAATATGGTACAACACACGCGTATGTACAGTTTACTGTGTATACATATATATATATATATATATGTGTGTGTGTGTGTGTGTGTGTGTGTGTGTGTGTGAGTGCGTGGTCGCCAGTGGTTGGGGGGTGAGGAGGACACGTCTTATAATGTCTAAAACTACAGGAAAACTTCTTTTTCATTTCCTCGGAAAGAATATTAATCATATAGTACGGCGGCGGTTTCGTATCATTCTGCAGTCGGAGAGACTGTTAAATCACTGTGACATTTGTCCCAAAAAAATACTATTTTTAACTGGTCTCGTGCGAAACATTAAATTATTATTATTATACGCCATATGCTATACGCTATATGCAATAATGTTTCATAATATATACTAATATATATATCATACACACATAATATAGGTTTTTCTTTCGTATTTTATCGTTTTATTTTCTCAAATAGTTTATTATAAATAAACAATAAATATTAGGATCCGTTTGATCGTTGTATTATGTCCACATTACCCTTTAAGACTTATTAAACCTAACCCCTTTAACCTAAGCGAATAATAATACAACTGTTTATTGGTTTTACGGCGCTGTTTTGTTTTATTTTGAATTATAATTTTTTATTTGTCCTTTTCTATTTCCGTGCATTCTAGTTTATAGAATGCGTGATTCACTGGTGGTATACAGTATAATAAATGTATAATATCTTTACATCGCTGGAGTCCATAAAGTCTAGAGTCTAGAGTCTAGACGGTACTTTGAAGTGGTAATTTTTCGATTTTTCCAATAAAATTTTCTTAAGCTATTCGCACAAAGAAAAATTGTGCAGTCGAAAAAAGGTTGAAAAAAACGTCAGCAACCGAACCTCAACCAGGACCGTTTTTCAAATGCGATGTGATACGGTCGCTTTCAAATTTAATATCACATACCGCACTGTTTTTGCTCCTGGACGAGCATGCCGAACGTGTCCAGCTATCGTTTTTATTATTATTGACGCAGTTCAAGTAAAATTTAAAAACTATATTAGATTTCAATTTTGTTTATTATTGTTTTTTTAATTATGTATTCTTGGAATGTGATATATGTTACGATTTATTTAAAATATACCAAAAACATTATTATTATTATTATTATTAATGATTTTATTGTCAATAGATATCCATACTGCAGTCTATGGATATCATATTTAGTACGAGTTTAGTTTTTATTGTGTTATCGATTCTGATGGTAAACATAAGTATAATTTTCAAACTAAATATTTACAAAGTAAAATGCAAATGAAATATATTGACTATTATATTTTTGAGCGCGTAAAGTCGTATCGTAGGTATTATCCAAAATGTGACCTCATTGTACTATAAAAAATATTTTAAATGATATGTGAATCGAACGGCTCAGACCCAGGTCGGACTTATGTAATATGTATTACAATTACATTATATAATATATTAAAATCGTCGTGCTTTGAAAAAATTCTGTTAACGAATCATTTTATTGTTCCATATTGTGATAAAAAAATAATAGTAAATTTGTTGTACGAGTCAGTATTCGATCGGTAAAAAAGTATACCGATTCCGAGAAATATAATTTGTAATCTGCACAAAATAGGTTTGTAACGTCATAACACTCCGTAGTATAAACAATAAAATATACACTCCTCATATTATAAAACATTATATCCGTTCGTTGGCCATCGATGATTGAATTATAAGTTAAAAAACTTTTTTTCTGACATTTCGTTGAATCGGAAATAATTATAGGTGAATAATTCTTTTATAAAAACTGAAAAAAAAATCTAAAAGCATTTGCGATTTTAAAGAAGCTCCTGTGTACTTCTACAGTTAGTTATAACTTATAACTTTATATTATGTACCTTATTTATAACTATTCATCGAAGACTTCTAATGGATAACGTTTACAGTAGATGCGAGCCGTGTTTTACTAGGTACTATAGTTTATTAGGGCTCGAATTTCGATAAATTTGCAAATTTTTTCTGAAATGTTTGATACGATGCTTTCCAAGATGCAAATGTATCTAAAGTACACACTATGCTAAGAACGAAATTTGTTGAGTCATTTTTTTTTTTTTTTTTGAAAGGCATTTATTCTTAAATCAGAACCCTAATTATAATATTTAACCTTCGAAAGTGTAGAAATGTATAAAATGGTCTTCAGAGTTTTGTTGTATCGCCGGAACAAAATGTTTAGGAGTCAAATCGTTGTTTGATCACACTAGAAGTCGAACAAAGATTTAAGGTAAGGGTTGGCCCCTGAGGTCAAAATGTTGACACGAAAATTGTTTGGTAGTATGTTATTTATTACGAGCATGTAACTGCAATTTACAAAAAATCAAAAAAAATTGTGTGACTACACTATGCCCCTGTAATACCCGGTGCGCCGTAACTCCGCACGGATCGTCGCCATTTTATAATATATCACCTTAACTCCGCATACAAGGTTTTTTTTCGACACCTTAACTCCGCATACGAAGTTTTTTTTAAACACCCTAACTCCGCATAAAAGATTTTTTTTGACACTGTAACTCCGCACATATTTTTTTTAATGTTTAAAATATACAAAATACAATACATATTTAAAGTTAAATAAAAATAATATTAGACAGCAGGTAATACTAGGTAATTATAAAATATAAAATTAATAATAATTAATGCATACAAAAAAAATCGTCATTGTCGGTATAAAATGTATCTAACAAAAATTATAATAATTAATGCATACAACGAAAAATCGTTAAAATTATAATGTAAGTTAAAATAAGTTAAAATAAAATATTATTAAACGAAGCCAAACTTTTTACAAAACTATATCTATCTATTTGGTTGTTATTATATAATTCGATTTTTTTATTTATAAATTGTATATTATTTTTTAGTTTTCTTCTAATTATCCTACTTTCGTTATTATTGGCAGAATTCATTCTTATATAAGAATCCGTCTGCATAGCTAATAAATGTTTAATGAATACAGCAATATTTGGATGTGCTGATGTAAATAAAAATTTTTATAATGCGGAGTTACGGTGCGTTCGTTTTTTCAACCATGCGGAGATACGGTGCGTTTGTATTTTCGACCGTGCGGAGATACGGTGCATGCGGAGTTACGGATTCACAAAATATTTTTATTCATGCGGAGCTATGGTGCGTTCGTAATACCAACTGGGTGACGGGTGCGATTTAAACGTTCCCCCAGTGGTCGAAGTGGCTCAAAATAAGTTGGGGGAAGGTTTTC